TTTTTCTACAAAAGTTGTTGAAGGAAGTTCTGGCTGCCTGTAGTCTGTGCAGGAGGTTTATTTACCTAGATGGAAAGGGCAGGAGTGGATGGGGCCCATTGATTTTTATTTCACACACAGACTGTTGGTTTTCACTCTGAATGTGACAAGGCCTGAGAGTGTCTGTCTGTCTGTCTCTCTCTCTCTCACACACACACACACACAGACAAGTGTGTCTCTCTTGCTATCTCTCTCACACACACACAGAGAAGTCTCTTGCTCTCTCTCTCACACACATAGAAGTGTCTCTCTCTCTCACAGGTGCGCGTGCACACACACACACAAGTGTGCAGCAATTCTGCTTCAGATCAGAGAATAAAAAGATGTTACCAAATGAAGAGCTAGAAGGGGTATCTCTAGGGGAGAGTGCCGAGGAAAGGGGAAGAGAAAGTTGTTTCATCACAGAGACTCCCAGGTGAGATCGGTGCTACATGCTGCTGCTTGTTCTCCAGCGTGGAGTCCAGCGTAGTTTTGGAATACTTCTTTCTGACATCCAAATCCCTCTGGTAAGGTTAGCTTAAAGGTGGTGAGAGCCAAGTCAGCATACAGACTCTGTGATCTGTGTACTACAGTTCCTAGAAAAGTTAGTTCCATGTCAGATGGAGACCCAGGAGCCCAAAAGTAATGTGTAGCTAGAGTTTTCCTGCCTTGCCCACAGTCAGGAAAATCTTTGTCACCCGCCAGTCCCACAGCCACTCAGACCCAACCAAGTAAACACAGAGACTTATATTGCTTCAAACTGTATGGCCGTGGCAGGCTTCTTACTAACTGTTCTTATAGCTTAAATTAATCCATTTCTACAAATCTATACCCTGCCACGTGGCTCGTGGCTTACCGGTACTTTACATCTTCCTTGTCCTGGCAGTGGCTCCAGGCAGTGACTCCTGCCTTCCTGTTCTTTTATTTCTCCTCTCTGTTAGTCCTGCCTATACTTCCTGCCTAGCCATGGCCAATCAGGTTTTATTTATTGACCAATCAGAGCAACTTGACATACAGACCATCCCCCAGCACAGCCAAATGCAGACCATCTCAGACACCTGCACTCAGACCCGTGGTCCTAATCATCCTCTATGTGGACCTGCTGGGTAAAGTCACGAGGAACCCGAGAACGGGCTCCCACAGGACATACAGAACATCCCACACCAGTAACGTGTCACAGAATAGCAGCATTTTGCTCTCTGTCATAGAGATGAATCTATTTCTTATTCTGATGTCATTTAAAATGTACAGCCATAATTTAGATCCTTAGGAGAGAAAAAAATTCAAGAGCACCCAGTCTACACCAGACCTGTCTTGGTGACAGAGGGTTTCCAGAGTCTTAGGGGTCCCTGAGGGAGTGCTTTATCACATCTGCCAGTAACTTCACAGTTTGAATGCAGGCTGGAGGGCACAAACCACTCTGGAAACACCTTTGAACAGAGACAGCATCTCTGACCTTGTAACTCTCAGCTGCTTGGCCTGGGACTCTCTGTGCAGACCAGGAGGGCCTCCAACTCAGACACTCACCTGCCTCTGCCACCACAAGTGCTGGGATTAAAAGTGTGCGCTATGGCACCTGGCTTGTAAACGTGTTTAATAAGCATCTCCCAAAGAGGATTTCTCAGGCTACCTGACTAATAGCTCACTTTTCTTTTAGTACACCTTACAAATGATGTAACCATGCAGAAATATTCTTTACTTTGTGTGGTGGTTAGAATAAGAATAGCCCCCATAGGTGCATATATTTGAATACTTAGGGAGAGGTGCTCTTGAAAGGGTTGGTATGCTGTGGGATGTCATTCTGTATGCTGTGAATATGTGTTGCTATGATTGGTTGATAAATAAAATGCTGATCGGCCAGGCAGGAAGTATAGGTGGGCAAGCAGACTAGGAGAATTCTGGGAAGAGGAAGAACAGAGTCAGGAGTCACCAGCCAGACACAGAGGAGGCAAGATGACAAGGCAGAACTGAGAAAAGGCACCAAGCCACGTGGCTAAACATAGATAAGAATTACGGGTTAATGTAAGTGTAACAGCTAATCAGTATTAAGCCTGAGCTAATGTCCATACAGTTCATAATTAATATAAGCCTGTTTGCTTACTTGGGACTAAACAGCTTTGGGACATGAGTGGGAGAGATTTGTCCTGGCCGAGGGTCTGGCGGGACACAGAAACCTTCCAGCTACATTAGTAGATGTGCCTTGTTGAAGGATTATATCACTGGGGGTGGGTGGAGTAGTGGTGGTGGCCTTTGAGGTTTCAAAAGCTCAAGCCAGTCCCAGAGTCAGTCTCTCCTCTGTCTCTGTCTCTGTCTCTGTCTCTGTCTCTGTCCCACCCTCCTTCCTTCCTGTTGCTTGTGTATCTGGATGTAGAATTCTCGGCTCCTTCTCCAGCACCATGTCTGCCTGAATGCTGCCTTGCTTCCCACCATGACGATTAATGGACTAAACCTCTGAACTGTAAGCCAGCCCCAATTAAATGCTTCCCTTTGTAAAGGATGCTGTGTTGTGATGTCTCTGCACAGCAATAGGACAGTGACGGAGACACTTTGAGTTAAGTGAGTTATTGCCAGACTACCTCCACTAAGCTTGGGTCTGCACAGAGAGCATCATCTGTGCTGTCCTGTGAAAGGAGGAGACATCTTGAAAGGCCAGGGGGACACGAAACACCGGTTTATACACAGTGCCTGCTCTAATGAGGAGCTGAAACACTGTGCTTCAGGGACATGAACTCAATCGATCACCTGTGGAATTAGGTAAAAGTTCATGTGTGTGGAAGGCTGAGGTTGTGCTTATTTAGCAGAACATTTCCTTTTCCGTCTCTGCTGCTGTGATGAAACACTGACCCAAAGCAACCTGGGAAGGAAAGGGTTTGTTATTTCAGCTTACTCATCAGAGCCCGCCACCCCTCCAGGAAAGCCAAGGCAGGCGCCTGAAGCAGAAACCACAGCAGACCTGTCACTTGCTGGTTCGCTTCCGGGCTCACATTCAGCTAACTTTCTTTTACTTTTATAAACACATGTAATTTATTTTTATTATTATCTGTTATTATGTGAAGGTGTAAGAGCACATGAGCATGGGTACCCTTGGGGCCAGAGGAGCTGAATCTCCTGGAGTTGCAGGTGGTTGGAAGCCACCTGACGTGGGTGCTGAGAACAGAACTCGGGTCCTCTGGAAGAGCAGTAAGTACTTGTAGCTGCTGAGCCATCTCTCTAGCCTCCAACCGCCTTGTGTGTGTAGCCCAGGTTCCACCGTGCACGTGTGGCACTACCCGCAGACATCCCCAGAGGCCTCTCCTATCAAGGCAATTTTTCAGTTCCCTATTCCCAAGTGTGTCAGACTGGAAACAAAACCAAGCAGGGCAGACCACGCATGTTTTTGTCTCACAAAGAATGTTTTTCTTCCTGAATGTCTATTCTGTGTATGTTCCTGCAAAGCAATGGGGTTCTGTTTGAAGGGATCTGTTCATACTCATTACCTGCCTTATGTAGATACCTATATACCAGGCCTTAGGCCAAGGGGTGGGGCTGCAAAGGTGAATAAAAGCAGGCGCAGCAGGTAGGATGGCCATCTTTCAGGAACCACATACATAGGACAGTGTTCATGGATAAGTGGCAAGCACCTTGAGCAACATCTCTACAGGGGAGGGGAAGTCAGAAAGACTTCCTGGAAGTCACTATAAATGCCAATACTCAGTTCAAAGGGGAAAAAGTTTTAAATAATGGTTGTAGCCAAGACTCTAGCAGGCGTGTTGGAGAGCGGGGTGGGCAGAGGCAAAACAGTGGACGGATTGTTTAGAGGGAAGATTTCTTTTAAGGCACCACAAAGTACATCTAAAACTTGTATTATCCTGTGTGTGTGGTGTGTACATACGTGGGGTGTGTGATGCATGCAAGCCACAGCGGAGGTCAGAGGAAAACGTTGTGGAGTCCAGCTCAGGTCATCAGGCTGCTGCGGCAGGGGCTTGATACGCCCAGCCGTCTCTCTAGCCCTTGTTTTGTAAAATTTGAAACAGCAGAGATTGTCAGTGCCCTGCTCTGTACTTCTTGGCTTTTCAACGTGCTTGAGTCTCAGCCAGCCACCAGTATTTGCAGCTTTGACCTGAGGGCTTTTCCCAGAGCTGAGAGCCAGGCTGGCTACACACATTGCAAAATGTAAGCACCGGGCTTGAGGCAGCCCTCAGAAGCAGCCCTCTGCCAGTGAGCCCTAGAAGCTCCTTAGCTTGCCCTGCAGGACAGTTCTGAGGCCAGTGTTGGCATGTTTCTGGCATTTCACCTCAGAGTAGGCACTAGCCACTCTCTGTGGTTGCCAGCTTAATAATGCACCTTTAATTGGCAGGCTGCCTCCCTGGGTCATTTCCATGTTCTAGCATTAATGTTCACTGCATGGTCTACATAGCCTCCTTGTGTGTGCTCCAATCATATAGAGTCTGTTCTGGGGGCCCAAATCACAAGGCTGAAATCTATTCTGTAGAAAGGCACCTTTAGCTTCAAATACCATTTTTTAAAAAGGATAACTTATTCGCATGTATGTGTCCTTGTGAATGTGTGTACATGTGTATATGTCTGTACATGTATGGGGCATGTGCCTCAGGACTTGCATTTTTGCAGCCAGGCTGGCGGCCCCCACAAGCTATACACTATCAATAGCTGCTCTGTTAGCGTGAGCTCATGCATGCTCACCCCCAGGCTGGAACCACAGCTGCTATGAGTTTACGAGTACAGACACCTTGTCAAGTCTAGAAGACACTGTCCTCACCTCCTGGGACCCTATCCTCCACAACCTCTGATTTTACAACATTTCTGCCACCTTTACATTTACACCATTTCTTCTGTGATGGTCCCTGAGCTTTGGGAGAGAGAATGTAACACAGATGCTCCATTGAGAATTGAGCACCCCATTGTCTTGTTCTCTGCAGTTTGGCTAGTTACATAAGTTTCTGCTTACCTGCTGTCCACTACACCAAGAAACTTCTCTGATGAGGTCTGGGAGCTACACACTAATTTATTAGTACAGAGATACAGATTTAGAGATCAGTTTAATACTTTGTCCACTTAGCAAAATAATAGTAGTAGGTTCATCCCTGTGGGCTATGAGCTCCCATGGGAGTTCTTGAGTAAATCGACGGTAACACGCCTGCATTTCTCCCAATGGAGCAGGCCTCAGTCCAATCGGAAAGTGATTGGTTAGTCCTGTAATATCTGTGCCACCACTATACCATTGGATGTGATCCTGCCACACTGGTCAACTACATAGCTCACAGGTTTCACATCTGGGTGAGACTGTTGACCCCTCAGCAGCTTTAATCAAGTCTTCTTAATGATACAGGCTTCCTATCTTCCATGAAGGTGAACTCACAGACTCTAGTCTGGATCTCAAATGCTCCTGCAGGCTCCTGTGCTAAAGACAGACCCTTCCTTGGCACTGTGGAAGGAAGTGAAGGTTTTAAAAGATGGATGTCTTCCAGTCATAAAGGCACGCCCTTAAGGGGATCATACCTGTCTCCTTCCTTCTCTTTTTCATGTCTGGGCCACAGAGAGACTGCCTTTTGTTCCAGCACAACCACTTGCTGTAGATGAACGGTCTTGCTAAATAAGAAACATAGAACCAATGCAGAGATGAAAGCCCAAGAGGTCAGAGCTAAAAACCTTACCCTTCACTGCTGCTGCTGTCGTCTTCAGCAAGAGACCTACTTCCTGTGTGTTTGTCTTTATATAGACTTTCTGTTCTGCCTTCTCATTGGTTATAAACCCAACCACTTGACCACCTCATCACTGCCTGTCTATACAGACCTCCAGGTCTTCTATGGCTGGTATTGAGATTAAAGGTGTGTGTCTCCATGCTGGCTGTATCCTTGAACACACAGAGATCTACCTAGCTCTGCTCCCAAGAGCTGGGATTAAAGGCATACACCACCACTGCCCAGCTTCTGCTATGGCTTGCTATTAGCTCTGACCCCCAGGCAACTTTATTTATTATCATACAAATAAAATCACATTTCAGTACAAATAAAATATCACCATAGCCAGCCATGTTGTGTTGCCTCCCATAGGCTCAAAAGGAATGGAGTCAACCAACCGTGGATGGATATCTCCAAACGAGGAGCTAAAAGGAGCCTCTCCCCTGATAAATCGATTGTCTCCAATACTTTATTATAGAAATGGCTCCTTAGTTTATTTTTTAATTTTTTGAACTCCAGACAATTGGGGAAATCCATATTTCTGAGACCTGCCTCATGGCACACACAGACAGGGTGACTCATTCTCAGACTTTCACCTGGACATCTGGTCTCACACAGGGCTGCAGATATTCTTCCAGAACACCCAGAAGAAGAGAAGAAACAATCTCTTTGGAGTCTTTATCACTTACAAAAATGTTCTGTTATTGTCCTTATTTAGCAGAAATGGTACCCTCTGTTGTCTAGGAAAAGACATTGTTTGAAAAGGGGTCTAGAAGACAACAATTTTAAAGCATACAAATGCTCAGAAACACACATCTGAACACTGGCCTTCGCTACTTCATTTGTGAAGACCGTTGGCCAGAAAGAAAGCAGATCGATTTCTATAAATAGTAACAGAACCACTGCCAAGGCTATATCTCAGAGCTCTGCTTTTCCAACTGTAACCCCAAGTTAGCTCTTAGACCCTGTGATCTAAGTGTTCCCATGAAGTCATACCAGATAGTAAATGTCTGCATTATTAGTGATATCAGAGCAATCAATTCACCGCAGACGCAGGCTAACTGTGGGGATTTACAAGGTACCTGTGCAGCCTTTTAAGACCGCCTGTTGGCAGAAGACAGGATTGTTTCTTCTAGAAGCATCTATGAAAACCAGCCCTCTTCTTTAATAGGAATTCCAAAAGTTATAGTCTCCTATAAAATCAAAATCATGTAGGAGTGAAAGTCTGTTTTTTTTCCAGAAAGTCCCTCCCAACCTTAACAACGATACACTTGTGCAACTTCCGACTGCAATGGCGGCATCCCATGCTGATTGTGCCGATAAAATACTCCATTTACAGGTGTTCTGTTCTGACAACTTGGCGATTGTTTTGACCCTGGTAGGAGTATGTAGAGGCAGATACCTCCTCATCAAGAAGAGAAAAAAAAAATCTGTCTGTCTGTCTGTCTGTCTGTCTCTCTCTCTCTCTCTCTCTCCCGTGTGTGTTTGGGGTGTGTGTGAGTGTGTGTGTGTGTGTGTGTGTGTGTGTGTGTGTGTGTGTGTGTAAACAACCAGCCCCCTATAGTGGTATCCCTTTGTACAAATAACTACAGACATTACCTTGAGGGGGCATCAACTGTAAAGAATTGAAATAAATAAACCTTCCCTGTTCTGGCAGAGAGAACCCATTTTTACTTTTTTTCCTAGGAACCAAGGAAAAAAAAATATCTATTACACCAATTCATCCATTTGTGTGTCTGGGGAAAATTATTTCCCAAAACTTCACTTTTTTTTCACAAATGTGCTAGACAGAATTGATTCAGCCTCTGCTGCTGACATCCCAGTAAAGTAAATGATACTTAGGCACAAGACAAAAACAAAAGACTTAGGAAGAGATTCATGTTAAAATACTGAAAAAAGACAACGGCCCATTACATTATGGAGAACGGGAAGGGACAGTGATGTTGAAAGGAGCCATCCAAGCTCCATCTAGAGGACCCTTGAGTGACAGTTGCTCAGGGGGCGGACCTCAGACCCCTGAGTGACAGTTACACCGGGGGCGGACCTCAGACCCTTGAGTGACAGTTGCTCAGGGGGCGGACCTCAGACCCTTGAGTGACAGTTGCTTAGGGGGCAGACCTCAGACCCTTGAGTGACAGTTACACAGGGGGCGGACCTCAGACCCTTGAGTGACAGTTGCTCGGGGTGGACCTCAGACCCTTGAGTGACAGTTGCTCAGGGGGCGGACCTCAGACCCTT